CAGAACAGCTTTGATCAAAGTGAGGCCTCCAACAAATGAGGCTTTTTTCTTTGGATTGCTTTAGAAACGAATTTTCAATATTCATCCCTACAGAAAAGGGCATGTACCTTCTGCTCCAAACATATCGGAAACATAATTAAGATTTGCTTTCATGTATCTCTCAAAAGTTATTCCTTTAAAAGGAAGAGTTCCTAACATTCTTTGTGAACACTGAGTACACTGGCACTGCTTTAAAGCTATACCTGTGTCTAAGCTTTTAGCTCTTTTAGTAAGATGTTTATCTGTACTGGTACAGCTGAAGATTCTAAAGTGGCAAAATGGGACAAAAGAGGAAAGAAACAGGTGATAAAGTACACGAAAAGTTGTAATGTTGTATGAAATAAGATCACAGTACAGCAAATGCCATCAACTGTTATGCAAGAAAAAGAACTTCATATTTTAAAAGTCTTAAGGGTAGGGGAAAAGAAAAAAAATCCCCACACTCTTACTTCAGCAACCGAAATTGTTACCTCTTAAGTTCTAGTGTAAATCTTCCTTAATACACTTTCTTACAGCTAAGCATTTGGCTTCCTCGTGCTCTCTTCCCAGACTCAACTTTGTCTGAGAGGCAGAGCAGAAAGAAAAGTTAGAATTCAACCAAAACTCTTTCAAGTTTTGAATCACTTTGTGTTTTTCTGAGAAATGTGGAATCTACAATGTTTTTTCTCAAAATAATTCTAAGTGGCTTCAGAAAATCATCTAACCATGTGTTCCTTTACCATCTACCTTGATGTTATTCAAAACTCAGTATCGCCTACAAAAATTAACTCATTATCCCTGACCTAGTTTAAAATTAGTTCTGTCACCATTTCATTGCTCAGAAAGACTGACATTAACAATACTCACACCTGGAGAACTCACAGCTTAATGCCAGGACACCAAGCAACCCCCACACAAGGTTGTTGTTCAGGTGTCTGGCTTTAGATAGCTCCTGACCAAGTGGAAGCTGTGCATGAGGATAAAGATGGGATTTTATTGGCAGGTTGTGGGTCAGACACAGGAGAGCTGCCCTGCGAACACTTTTTGTGTGTGTTCCATGTGATGGGGTAGACGATTTTAGCTCCTGCACCCCAAAGAAGAGAACTCAATGCTTCAGTCTGGTTATGTGTTGTATACAACACACAACACTTAAAACTATATCCCACCAGTAGCTCTCAAAGATATTGGAGAAAGGAAGAGCCAGATGAGATTCCCACTTCTACTAAGTTGTTACGGAGTTTTTTGGGCATACAGGCTGCCTTAAGATGGAACAACTCCTAAGAACTTAATTAGAGCCCAAAATCTTCTGTATAGCAAATCATCTGCTCACAGAGATCCCATTTTCATTCCTCTCGAACATACTTCACACAAGTAAGAGGTCAAAAAAACAACAAGTGATATAGAATTTGTTTGCAAACCAAAATTATCCATGCAGAAATTAAAAAACCCAACCAAAGCGCAAGGCAGAATGACTAAAAAGTGTTACCTGTCACCACAGGTACTCACACTCACCTTGGCAACCCCAACCCCAGTGAACCTGGCCTCCAGGAGCTCCTGCCTGCGTGGGTCCAGGCTATGCAATTCTTCCATCATTTCTGCTGCTATGGAAGAATAACACTCAGATTATGCAAAGCAAGGAAAGGAGAGAGATGTTTAATATTCCGTGCCACTGACGAGACTTAAAAGTGCCTGTTCTGCAGCACAACCGCGTAGAGAGCATTTTCTTGCAAGAGAAATGTGAGATTACCATGTAGTAACACCATGACTTTGCCACCATATTATAGTATTTAAACCATAACCCTGCTGGAATTTCCTCTCGTCTCCTCTGTTGTACCAGCCATTTCAAGATCTCTAAATCCAAGAAACCAATTATGTCACATTCTCCCACTGGATGCTTTATTAAAAGGAAAACATGGGACCAGAGTGTTATGACTAAAAGCTTCAGAGCTTTTCATCTGTGCTGCATGACTAGGAGAAAAAAAAGCAACATTCTTTACCCCATAATTTATTTTTGGCCAATCCTGGAAATACTCGATCTCCACAAACTCCAGATTTCACTGATAACAGCTTTGCTTCTTCCAAGCAGAGTGGGATTACAAGAAGAAAATAATGCACAATTAAACCTTTTCATTTATAAGGTAAAGCATCAGATATTCAAAAATAACAGCAGCTTCTACATCCTGGATGTACCTGGGGTATCTCTTGGCAATCTAACACTATGAATGCCTTATCTGAAGGGTTAAAAATCTAGCCAGCATAACTGTGTAAACAGGTTAAAAATCAGGAAATACATAATTCAAATCCTGAACTGAGAAAAAAATGGGACAAAATTCACTGTTCATTATAACTCTGAATCACATCTTCCCAACTGCACCAATCAAGTTCATTTCCAGAAATGTCTGTTCCAGTTTCATTTTCTGGACTAAGGTAGAAAAAAAAGGCCAGAAACAGAAGATAAAGATTTGCTGTGTAAAGAGCATATGTGATGAGGAAAGTTCTTGAAGGGCAGCAAGTGCCCTCTAGAACAGGCAATGCACAATTGTTCTTTTTATGAACTGTCCATTTTGTCCCTGCCGCTTCCTCCAAATGCTGCGGCTACAAGTCACAGGGGCAAAGTGAATTCATCCGGGGGCATTCTCAACTGCTCTCCCCAGTCAGTCCCAAGCCTCAAAAACTAATAGGATCCTAAACATGATTATTAAACAACCGTATTTCAGCCACGGGCTCAAAAAGCCCAACAAAGCTCTCAGCCCAATTTTCAAAACAGGAAATCTAAGCAGCAAAGAAAATGAAAGACAAGCCGCAAACACCAAGATGTTCAAGTGCTCCCAGGGCTCTCGCCCATCAAGGGGCCACCATCCGCAGGGAATCGCATCCCCACACCAGGATGCGGCTCTGGGGAAGGGGCTGACACACGTTCCTCCCGCCGGGGGCTGCCTCGGGACCCGCTGCACCCCTCCAGACAGGGCTGGCATTCCCTTCTGTCCTCCCGGGAGGGGATTTCCAGCACCCCTCTCCCACCCACTCGGGACGCAGAGGCATCAGCCGCCGAGCGAGCAGCCTTGCCCCGCTGCCAGCTGCTGCACCGCCTCGGCCTCTTCCTCCTCCTCCCCTCCAGCACCGGCTCAACCCTCAGCCCGAGGCTCCGCAGGCCATGCCCACCCTCCGCCGCACCCCCCCTC